TTTTATGGCTTTATGGTCAGAAAAGATGCTTTGTAATATTTCAATGCTTTGGATTCTGTTAAGGCTTGCTTTATGTCCTAATACATGGTCTATTCTGGAGAATGTTCCATGTGCATTGGAAAAGAAAGTATACTTGGCTGCTGTTGGGTGGAGTGTTCTGTATGTCTGTGAGATCAAGTTGGTTGATTGTGGCATTTAGATATTCTGTGTCTTTATTGAGCTTCTTTCTGGATGTTCTATCCTTCACCAAAAGTGGTGTGTTGAAGTCTCCTGCTATTATTGTGGAACTGTCTATCTCTCTTTTCAATGCTGTTAGAGTTTGTTTTATGTATTTTGGAGCCCTGTCGTTGGGTGCGTAAATATTTATTATTGTTATATTCTCTTGGTATATTGACCCTTTAGTCATTATGTAGTGTCCTTCCTTAACCTTTGTGGTGGATTTTACTTTAAAGTCTATTTTATCAGAGATTAATATTGGCACTCCTGCTTTTTTGATTGTTGTTTTCTTGATATATTTTTTTCCATCCTTTGAGTTTTACTTTGTTTGTGTCTTTAAATCTAAGGTAGGCAGCATACAGCCGGATCATGTTTTTTATCCATTCTGTCATTCTCTGTCTCTTTATTGGTGCGTTTAGTCCATTTATATTCATCCTAATTATTGATAGGTAGGAGTCTAGTGTGCTGTCATTTTGATGTCTTTTTGTGTGTGTTGTTTACAGTTTCTTTGTTCCACTTAATTTTCTGTGCTGTCATTTTTGTTTATGTATTTTCTTTTCATCTTTTTCATTGTTGTTGATTTTGTATTTGCTGAGTCTTTATGTTTTTCTTGTTTTTTATTTTGATGTGTAGGATTGTTAGTTTCCTTTGTGGTTACCTTAACTTTTACCCCTATTTTTCTAGGTTTAAACCACTCTTTTATTTCTTTATATAGCCTTGACTTCCTCTCCATATGAAAGATCTATGACTACATTTTTTAGTCCCTCTTTTTTGTTATAATGTTGTCATCTTTTACATATGACATCTTTGTTTCCCTATTTTCAGTGTTTTAGCTTTGATTTATTTTTGTGACTTCCCTATCTGGGTTGATATCTGGTTGCTCTGTCCTATGCTCTAGTCTTGAGTTGTTATCTGATATTATTGATTTTCTAACCAGAGGACTCCCTTTAGTATTTCTTGTAATTTTGATTTGGTGTTTGCAAATTCCCTAAACTTCTGTTTATCTGGAAATGCCCTAATTTTGCCATCATATTTGAGAGACAGTTTTGCTAGATATATAATTCTTGACTGGCAATTTTTTTTCCTTCAAGGCTTTATATATGTCATCCCATTGCCTTCTTGCCTGCATGGTTTCTGCTGAGTAGTCCGAGCTTTGTATTATTGACTCTCCTTTGTAGATGACTTTGTTTATCCCTAGCTGCTCTTAAAATTCTTTCTTTATCTTTGGTTTTGGCAAGTTTGACTATGTCTTATTGACTTACTTTTGGTATCTACCTTGTGTGGGGTTCGATGAGCTTCTTGGAGAGATATCTTCTCATCTTTCATGATATCAGGGAAGTTTTCTGCCAACAAATCTTCAACAATTCTCTCTATTCTCTGTTATCCACCCCGTTCTGGTACTCCAGTCACTCATAGGTTATTCCTCTTGATAGAGTCCCACATAATTCTTAGGGGTTTCTTCATTTTTTAAAATTCTTTTATCTGATTTTTCCTCCAATAAGTTGGGGTCAAGTGCTTTATCTTCAGTCTCACTAATTCTGACTTCCATTGCCTCAGTTCTGCTCCTCTGACTTTCTGTTGAGTTGTCTAATTCTGAAATTTTATTGTTAGTCTTCTGGATTTCTGTTTGTTGTCTCTCTCTGGATTCTTGCGGCCTGTTAAATTTGTCATTATTCTCTTCTGGAATCTCCTTAATTTCCTCTATTGCTTTGTCTGTGTGTTCCTTGGATTCTTCTGCGTTCTGTCTGATATCCTTCCTGATCTCTTGAAGAGTTGTGTATTAATCTTTTCTATTCTACCTCTGGTAATTCTAAGTTCTCTTCCTCCAGAAGATTTCTTGATTCTTTGTTTTGGGAGCTTGCTAAAGCCATCATGGTCTGCCTTTTTATGTGATTTGATAATGATTGTTGTCTCCGTGCCATCAATAAGTTATTATGTTTATTTTATGTTTGCTTACTGTGTCCTAGCTTCTTGTTTTGTTTTGATATGCCTACATAAGCTGCTCTTGTGAGCTAGTTTGGTTATTGGCATCTTTGAAGGTCTAATGTCCTGTCACCAGGTGGTGTGATCCGTTACTAGGTATGTGAGCCCAGGAGTCCATTTACTTTTTTTGTATGGATTCAGCTCAGGTGTCCAGGTAGTTGGTCAGCAAGTGTGTGGTGCAGGCCCTCACCTACAGTCCTAGATGGGCAGAGTGATTGGATTAGGCACAGGTATCTGGCTGCAGTAGGGGGTCACGTGCTGAGCAAGGCAGGGGGCTGACAGCTGCCCCTGGGTGTTCTGGGAGGAAAGTGTGTCCCCATTGCCTACAGTGCATAGGTGGATAAGTTTTGCAGCTGGACTATGAGCACCCAGTGCTGTTGGCTATGAGGACTGGGAGGCACCACTTATTCTTGGACCTCTGTCGCAGGTGGCTAGGTGGCATGGGTAGAGCCACCAGTCTTCAGGCCCCTGATTTGGGTAGGTGAGTATCCTGCTTAATGGGCAGAGTGGTGTCAAATATCATGAACCTGCCAATCCGCCATATAGCTGATACAGTTTAAGTTAGGCTTCAGGTATATATCCTGTTATATTGTGCTAATGAGGGCCTACGCTGTTGAAATGGGCCCACACAGGTCTGTGCAGGGGTGAAAGGCATTCAAAGTCCGTGGACCCTTTATGCCTGTGCCTAGGCAAAGGAGCTGCGCCTGCCCTGAGTTCTTGGCTTAGTGGAGCTGGCATATTATTTTTTCCATTTGTTAGTTTGTTCCCTCTCCAAGGCTGGGAGAATGGTTCAGGGTGTATGACAGGTCCTACTTCTGGCCCAGGGGACGCGGCAGTTGCCAAAGCCAGTCAGGGACCTGGTGTAGAGCAGGGAGGAGGAAGGTAAATGGGAGAGAGATTCTTCCTGAACTGGTGTTTTTTGACCCACATGGTGGGTTAGACGCATGTACTTATCTTTTGCCAGTTGAGTGCTGCTTTTCCCTGGTTCTGTAGGCTTGTGTAGACTCTCCGCCGCTTGGTCTCTCCCAATGTGGAAAACATGTCCCAAGCGTCACTGCTTGCCTCACTGCACACACCAGCCGATTTGGCCTGCAGGGTGTTGGTTCCCACTGGGTCAGGTCTGGCAACTCCTCGCTGCTTCTGAACTGTCTCTCCCCCCCCCGCCACTCAGTCCGATTCCTCAACTTTGCCTTTGGTGTTCAGGGCTCCTAGACTGTCATATATAATCGATTTACTTGTTTTTTAGGGTCTTTGTTCTAAGAGGGACCACAGAAGTGTCTGACTACTCTGCCATTTTGGCCCCACCTCTCCAATGACTAGTTTTTTGGAAGTAGATTGCCAGGCCTTTCTGCTATGACACCTCTCGGTGGACTCGAAACACCAACATTTCAGTTAGTAGCCGAGAGAATTAAGTATTTGCATCACCTAGGGATTCCAGCTATAACTCTGTATTGGGGAGTTGTTTATCCCAGACAATAGTCTTCTCATCAGCAATCCCCACAGATATAGAAGTATTTCCCTGCTTTGGGATCTGAGTTGCACAGTGTAGACATCAAGTTTCATGCCAAACACTTGGACATGATTAAAGGGAAACATATAAATGTTGGTAAACCCAGCCTGTGATCTTTGGTCTACAAAATCTCTAGCCTTGACTCAGTGTGAGTAATCAAGAAGCCTGAGGTGATAAAGAGAACCAATTTAAGAAAAACTTAAAAGTCCTTAAGATACAACTCAGTGCTTCAGCCATAAAGAGAAACAAAATTTTGATACATGCTACTACTTGGATGAACATTGAAGACATTATGCTGAGTGAAACCAGACACAAAAGGAAAAATATTGTATGACCCCCATGTATATGAAATATCTACAGTAGGCAAATGCATAGAGACCAAAGTTTATTAGTGGTTACCATGGGGTGGGGAGGAGTGAGGGCTTATTGTTTAAAGGGTCCAAAGTTTTTATTGTCATTGTTGGTTACCTTCGAGTCAATTCTGACTCATGGCGACCCCATGTGTACAGAGTAGAATTGCTCCATAGGGTTTTCAAGGCTTTCACCTTTCAGAAGCAGATCATCAGGTCTTTCTTCCAAGGCTCCTCTGGCCAGGTTTGAACTGCCAGCCTTTCCGCTAGTAGTCAGCACGTTTAACCCTCTGTGCCACCCACGAACCCGCAGTGTTTTTGTTAAGGATGATGAAAAAATTTGGGAATGGATAGTGGTGATGGTTATAACTAAAGTCACTGAATTGTACACATAAAAATGGCTGAAATGACAAATATTTTGTTACATATATTTCACCACAGTAAGAATTAAAACAAAACAAAAACACCCTCTGTACTGACCGAGCAGCTGTGGTGGTGATTCACAGTTAGGGTTAGGGTTGGATGCAGAGCTAACCGACCCTTCTTTTGCTGCCTCTTGAACAGAAGCAGAGAAAACCAGATGCCAGCAGGAGCGTGAGCACATTCTCGGGGCGGCAGGCGTGGACGTGCAGCAGCCCAGGCCCTCAGGGTTCTTTGTCCCCGAGTGTGACGAGCATGGGTACTATGCGCCCACTCAGTGCCACGGCAGCACCGGCCACTGCTGGTGCGTGGACAGGGATGGCCGTGAGATCGAAGGTACCAGGACCAGGCCTGGAGCGCAGCCCCCATGTAAGTACAAGGATGGCCCAGACGGAGGCCTGAATACCTGCATTCACGGGGCCTGCCAGCCACGTGTGTTTCTTCATTGGACATCCAACAGGGGCGCTTTCTGCCTGACCCTGAATCTTGAACTGCTTTGCTGGCTCAAACCCCATTCTGTCTGCTCTCCAACCTCTCTCCCCTCTGCTTTTCTCTTCCCTATCCCCCTCTTCGTTTACCCCTTCCCTGAAATCTCTCCTCTCCTCACCTTCCCTCTCCTCTTATCCTTTTCCTCTTTTCTGTGCAAAAATGTGCTTTGTGGAAATAACCCGTGGGACCTGGTTTACTGGACTGACAATTGATAGCAGGGTGGTTATCTGTGCCTGGGGTCCAGGGGTGAGCTCTGTAGGAGGAGGTAAGATTTCTGGATATTTCTGTGTTGGCATATCATCGCAGGGGTGGTGGAGACCACCTGAGCCCTTGCCCAGGACCTCCTTCATCAGAGACATCACTAGGGTATGGCAGGTATAGCTGGTATTGCACCAGACCTGGGCATGTGGCGCTACTGAGCAGTTTCTATTAACCAGGTACAGCCTGTGGTGTATCTACAGAAAACGACGCCTATGGCAGGCACTAAAATTGCGCCCTTGTCCAAATGTCTGACACCCCTCTGTTGATAACTTCATCATAATATCAGCTCAAAAATACAAGTCAAGCTTGTTAATCTTTAGTAACACATTACCATGCTTGAGGAAGGACGGTGGGCCATAGCGGGTTAACAGAAACTGCTCAGTGGCACCACATGCCCAGGGCTGGTGCAATACCGTAGACACGCCACTGGTGGTGGCACTGTTCTCATCTTTGCAGCGTTTGCCTCCTTCCCATTTATGCCCACGGTCCTGTAGATGCTGGGTCAATTTTAGAATTCAAAGAGCAAACAGCCACAGGAGTTTCTGCGAGCTGGTTTTACAACAACCCTGTGGCGGTGAGCACACCCGCACACATGCTTTTGGGTATTCTCGCTACCCTCTGGCCTTGCTCACAGGCATCTCCTCCCACAGGTCTCAGTACAGTGGCGCCCCCGACTCACCACGGACCCGCAGTTCCTACCACCGTGATTCCCCTGCCGCCCGGGACCCACTTACTCTTTGCCCAGACTGGGAAGATAGAGCACCTCCCCCTGGAGGGAAATACTATGAAGAAAACCGAAGCCAAGGCGCTACTTCATGCCCCGGTGAGTGCCGGCTCGTTGTGCACAGTGACAGCCTCCGCTTCGGATGAGCTGGAGAGACTAGTGGCTGGTAGTCAGATCAGGAGCCAGGGGGCTCATCATTCCGTGTGACCTGGGGTCATCTCTAGGTGGCGGTGCTGTACTTCCTGAGCTGCCGTGAGGCTCCGGGTGAGGTGGGAGCAGAAACAGGAAGTCCTTATGGGGATCTGACCCCCTGGGCAGGGTTTCATTTGAGCTTTGTATTTTGTCTGGGTGCATCTGCTGGGTTTGATCTTTCCATTCCTACTAAAATAAAGGGACTCATCTTTCAGCCGCAGATCCTCATATCTGCCCAGAGGTGGTAACAAGCTTTGGCTTAGAGGCTTTTAAAAGCCTCAAAAATACATCTCGTGAATTGGACATTTTTACCCGTTTGCTAGAGGTTGGACACTTCTGAATAGCCCTTCTATTTTCTCCACAATCCTGACCTCCTGCCAAGAGGCCAGACATCAGACCTGCGGAGTTTCTGGGTGCCGAGATTGGGTCAGAGTTGCCGGAGCAGTGGATGGGGGTCCCGGGGGCCATAGAGAGGGAAGAAGGAGTGAGGGCAGGGGTCATTCTGCCCCTATGAATGAAGTCAGGCAGAAATCCTTCTCATTCCTCAGTGGTGGCGGCAGAGCCTCCTGGAAAACTTCTGGTAGAAACGCCACTTGTGCCATCCTGTCTCTCCAGACCCAGCACCCAGATCTTCTCTTCTTCTTTCTCTCCTCACTCTGCTTGGTGTTCTCCCCATTTTCTCTTCCTGCGTTCATCCCCATCAAAGGCACCACACATTGCCATACCCTCTTCTTCTTTTGATCAGGGAGGGAACATGAACAGAGAAAAAAATAAATCCAAAATAGAAATGCTTTTCAAAAGCCTCTTGTAAAACTGTTTGATTGGATTCATGTCCTTCCCCTGCTCAAAACTCTCCAGTGAGTTTCCCCTTCTCTCAGAGCAAAATCCAGTTCTTTCTATGGCCCTCAAAGGCCTACGGTATCCAGTCTCCAGCTACCTCTTCAACCCCATTCCCTGCCTCTCTCCCCCTCTCTCACTAGCTTCAGCCCCTCTGGCTGCCTGGTCCTTGAACATGCCAAGCACATTCCTGTCTCAGGGCCTTTGCACATGCTGTTCCCTCTGCCTGGCGGTTTCTCACCCCCCCTCCTACTCCCCCCTTCACCCCACACACTTGTACTTCTTCACTTCATTCAAAGTTAGGCTGAAACATCACCTCCCACAGAGACCTTCCCTGATCACCCTCTCTGAAATTGTACCCTCCACTATTCTCTATCTCCTTATGCTGCTTATTTTTCATCATAGCCCTCAGCTCTCCTTGATATACTAAGTATTGATGTATCTGTTTAATATATATCTTCCCACCAAGAATATAAGCACCAGAATATGGGAAATTGTCTGTTTCCTAGAGGTGTTTGTTTCACAGACCCTAGGACAGTGCTTGGCACATAGGAGGTACTCAAAAAATATCTGTCGAATGAATTCATGAGTGATCTTCGTGCTCTCCTGTTGCCTCACTGAAAACATAAATTCCTTGAGAAATGATAGTCAGTCTTCCTTTGTAGCCTCTAGCACATGCTCTCAGGTAGTGGAAATAGGTTAAATTCCCTGTGAGAGTCACTTTTCCCCAAAACTAAGGGGGAGGGGCTAAATGCCTTTTGAGGCCATAATAGGCAGAGAATTGAGATGGGATGGTGGAGGGGTGGTTCAGTGGACTTCATAAAAATTAAGAACTTTTACTCTTTAAAAACACCACAGACATACACACACACATATATACATATACACATTTACATATATACATATATATGACATACTATATATTTATAATATAAATATGAAAAAATATTTTAACTGAAATATTTAAAGAACTCCTACAACTCAATAATAAAAATTCTAAAATGGGAAAAAGACTTGAAGACACTTCATAGAAAAAAGATGTTCAAATGCATGTAAGTACATGAAAAGATTCTCAGCATCATTAGTTATTCAGATGCTTGTGGGTGAACCATTCTCACCATTTGTCTTCACTTACAGGATAAAGTTATCATTGGACTTGCCTTCGACTGTGTGGACAAGATGGTTTACTGGACTGACATCAGTGGACCTTCTATTGGGAGAGCCAGTCTGCATGGTGGAGAGCCAACCACTATCATTCGACAAGGTGGGAAAGCTAAGATCACTCTTCCTTTTTGGTTTTGCTTCTAACAGCCAGCCTGGCTCTTTGAAGAAGGTGGAGGTTGGAGTGTATGGGTGCTTACAGGGTATGGTGGTTTGAGAGGGGCCTGATCCTCTGCGTCAAAATACTACCCTTTCCAGCCCCTTCTGAAGAGTCATCCAGGGACTCTGGGGTTTGTTGCTAACCTAAGGAGACTAAAATTAAAACAGAGTAGGTACCCACACCTTTCTCAGAAAGCTCATGTAATCAGTTTTAATGGGCAATAAAGGCCAAACTCACCATCCAGTTTTGTTTTGTTTTTAACTGTGGTGAGTTTTAATTTGCTATACATATAGCAAAACATTTGCCATTTCAACATTTTTTACATGTACAATTCAGTAACGTTAAGTGCGTTTATCATGTTGTGCAACCATCAGCACTATCTGTTTCCAAATATTTCCATCACCCTTCACAGAAGCTCAGTGCCCCCTAAGCAATCCAGTTTTGATTTGTGTTTCTCCCTCTGGCTACTGCCCCTAGAATTCATTCTCAGAGCATCTGCTCCATAGCATGCTTCACTAGGATTTTCCCAAAGACAACAGGCAGGTGAAGCAAAGCTGACAGGGTCACAAGCATATTGGCAAATATTGACCCTGATAGTTGAGTCTGTTCTCAAGACAGCTTTCAAGTTAAGGGGTTATCATTTCAACCTGTAACATTGCTGGGAGAGGGCTGTCCCCTCCTCTACCTCATCCCCCTAGCACTTGCTCAGATTGTCTGTGCCGGAAGAGTTCAACAAATCAGGCTGAACTTTTGCAGACACTTCTCAGCTGTCTGCTGCATTACTGATGATAAAGTGCATGACGCTTTGGCACAGCCTACCCCTCAACATTTAACCTCAATTCCTTAACTTAAGGATGCCAATTCAAGTGAAGGACTCTCTGGGTTATTTTGATGTCTACATTCAACAAATCAAGACTATTTTATGTGGGTATATTTTATCTAGATTAAAGACCATTACAACAAAAATCCAAGGACTCATAAAAATTCCCCTGTGTTGAAAGTTCAAGAATTACATGTTGCTTAAGTAAGTGACTCATCAACTGACTTGGGAATATTTTCCCTCAAAAAATATTTTTATACTGTTGATATTTGTTGTAGAAAATCATCTCGCTTCCTTTGCAAACGTTCAAATCAAAGATGTATCTTTAAAACATAGGAACCTCATTTTATATTTCTTTTTACTTCGGGCTGAATGTAGCTTGTCCAGTTTCCAGTTTAATGTTTCCCTAACAATTAGTACTCGGAAGGGACCCTGTGCCTTTGGACAGCCCTGGGGCATTTTTTTTTTTTCCTTCCTTGACTGCACTAGAGGTGATCAGTGGGGATTAAGCTGAGGTTGAATTAACTATGTCTGGCTTTGGACATCTACCCTGAATTCTCTTCTGAAACCAGTGTTCTATTTAAATAACTTCTACTGGTTGTTATGCTTTGCTTTACTGAACAGAAGTTTGAAAATGCCTGTTTGTATTTTCTCTCTCTCACTGTTAAAAATGTTGTTGCCATTATCTACGTTTTAATTTCAAAACCCAGTAGAAGAGGGGAGTAGGTCATAGCGTGCTATTTCCTGTTGCTTTGGGAGCTGATAATCATCCAAGAAAGCTCTGAGCACAGAAAGAAACATTCCAAGCAAAAGCCTACTTACTGCAAGAACGCAGAATTGAATCTAAGTGTTATCTTTGTAGAAGAAAGATCATCAGGAATAATTTTTTTTTTTTTTTTTAAAGAGAGAAAGCAGCTTCCACGTAAATCCTCCCCATGACATAGGCTGCTGCTTCAGGAGTGAGTGTACGTGGCAGTGGGCATCTTTTCATTTTCTTTTCTTCCGTATTTCATACCGTCTGAATCCCGGGCTTCCCATTCTTTCATTGAGTTAAAGCCTCAACCAAATATTTTTAATAAGTGTCATAATCTGTTTCCTTTCGACATACGCTACGTAGAATATATTGCCTTGCCGTTTTTACCCTTCTCTCTTTCGCTGCACAGTAAAGGAGGGTTTTCCAGGCCTTCCTTTGGTACTCTGGAGCTCTGGTGGTGCAGCGCTTAACAGCTGTGGCTGCTAACCAAAAGGTTGGCAGTTCAAATCCACCCGTCGCTCCTTGGAAACCCTCTGGGGTAGTTCTACTCTGTCCTATAGGGTCGCTATGAGTCAGAATTGACTCGATGGCGACGGGTTTGGTTCCTTTGGTACTCTAGTCCATAAAGAAATATTTTCCTGGTTAGTTGGGGGACCTGGTTGCTCTTAGGTTTGTAATCAGAACCAGACCTTTTTTTTTTTTTTAATTGTACTTCAGGTGAAGGCTTACAGAACAAATAGTTTCTCATTAAACAGTAGTACGCATATTGTTTTATGACATTGGTTAACA